TAGAAAAGGTTCAATATTTCTACTCTGGTTGCTCTAAGAAAGTCAGGTCATAATGTTAAATTCTGAAGCAAAAGTCAAAAAATGTGTCTTAAGCTCACAAATAACAGTTGTGCAAGTTTAAAGATTTGTCCTGGTATCCTCCTCCTCCCCCCAACACAAGACTGACAGCTGGGATACAAGACAGTCAGCACAGCCCCCAGAGAATGACCCAGCATCAGTTGTTCTAGTTAAAGAATCTAACACTCCTGATTGGTTCATCAGAGGTTCTCCAAAGAGGTACAGACAATCTGGATGAGGCTGGAACTGTGTGCTCAGGGAACTGTCACTGCCTTTGCAGTTTGGTCAACACCAAACTGTTCATTTGTGCCTTGTGGGCATTTTTGTCTCTTCTAGTCTCAAGATGACACTTGGAAAATAAAAGAAATATGAGCAGGTGCACCTATTAAATATGTAAAATACACATCCTCCTCCCTCGCTCAGAAGATGTATTTCTAAGGGGTGTGGAAAGTCGGCTAATACAAAGACAAATAGGCAGGAAAAATAATCATATGTGCATTTTTTTAAAGCACACAAGACTAAAAGTGGGCTCAGCACAACAGCTATCCACAGAAAATAAATACAAGCCAATTAAAAATTCCATTTCTTTTCTTTAAGCTAATTCCTCAGGTTTTGCTAATTAGCAACTAATAGTTCTGTCATTTGAGCTGGGGAACATAAGGAGGAAAACCAGTGGTGTGTTTTCAATCAAAGCATTTGCATGGAGGAATGCATCATATTTTCCATGTTACTGCTTGGGAGCAGTTGGGGGCAGAAGAAAAGCAGTGTGCACACAACTAGAAAGCTGTGAAGGAAACCTGAACTTTAGACAAGAAGAAATCTTTCTGCTCCCTCTTAACACTGAGGCCTTCTATAACATGCCCAATGAATCCAACAAACTTCACACAGAGAGCCCTACAGGGACTGCTATACAACTACGCTCTTCACAGTGAGAGGGAAGACAGTGGAACACATGTTTTCTGTAAAAGGGAAGAGAATAAAAGTTAAGTGTCAGTTGGGGTACAAGGAATGCTTGAACTATTATGTCACCTGCTTTTCCAAGTTTATAAAACAAAAGATGTATGCCATAAATGAAAGCAGCGGGTGATGGTGGTTTGAAATTTCTGGCTACAGATGGAGCAGAAAAAAAACCTTGCTGAGAAGTCTCGAGCAAGAGATGGGGGCTCTTACCTTCCAGCAGAAGCAGATCAGGCCCCCATATCTAGCCCCTCTTGTGGTATCCCAGATTATAAAGCATGCATGGTGTTATGGCCGAGAGGCTGTCAGCACCACAGCGTGTCTGAGCCATGAGGCCTGCCCGTCTACTTTTTGTGCCCTGATATACATCCCACGCGCAGCTACCTTCATGAGCAAATATGCCCCCACCCCCACCCCCTGTGTGGGTTTTATTCCAAACACATGTTGAAAATGTTTGAAGTGCCCGTATCCCCGGGTTTTCTTTTTTCTTTTCTTTTTTTTTTTTTTAAGTCAAACCCACAAAACCTAAAATACTTTGAATTCTGCCTAACTACAATTTGTGAAGATGTAGCATTGCATGTCCAAGTATAATACAATCTTATGCAATAAAAATTTTACAGATGTCCTTCTGAAGGAAAAGGATTTTTTTTTTTTCCCTTCCCTTTTCCGGTCTTACAGGAAACCTACCCACACTTTAGAAATACAAAGTTAGTATATATAGAAGCACAAATTAGGCATTTTGAGAAGTCTACATTTTCCAACCACAGAAAAATGAAGGAATTACTGAGAGTGTTCATAGCCAGCTGTTCTGGACTGCTGGAGTCTTTTCTGTCCCACTGCCTTGAAGAGCAAACATAGGCAGAGAGGAAGGACAAGCCTATGGAGATGTTTTTGGGCCTTCAGGTACTGATGGTCTGCTAAGCACATAGGCTTGGGCACCCTGCAGGATGAAGACAAAGCTTTGCCCACAAGGAACATAAATAGGGTCATTTTATGCCTCATTCAAATATATTTTTTAAAGTCTTAGAAAAGTTATCACCTTTAGTTCACATTAGTCATTAGCTTTGTCTGAATAATTAAATCCATGTGTGATATACAGACTTTATTAGAAACACAAAAAATACTTGTGTTATTATTGGAAGATTAAATAACCAAACAAGAGTTCTAGAAAAGTCAACTGATACCCCTATCTGATTCAAGGCTTAGTTAGGATATCTTTCAATTATTTCATATCAATAAATAATACTGTGCCTTTTAATTTTCCTGTATGTACTGTCACTTGTTACATAAAATATTTTCTGCTAAAAATTTAAGATGCTAGGGTCTCTCAAACAAACTGAAAACCTCTGCAATGTGCACACTCACAAAGCAGACAAAGGCCAGGTAAACTGAGGCTCGGTGAGAAAGGACTGCTTTGGGAAAGGGCACAGGACATAGCTCTTGCCACGCCAACTCTGTCTTCCTCAGTTACCGTCCACGAGATTTCCAATCTTAGTTTGTAGACACAGGTGACTGGGAGTCTGGCAGCTAAATACACTCACAGAAATGACTTGTCTTGGAGAGTAAACCAATCACATGATGATGGTGGTGACAGAGGAGGAAGAGAAGAAACAAAGGAACAAGGAAGAACTGAGAGGGAAGGAGAATGGCCTTCACAATTCTGAGGCACTTGACCGTGTGCCTGAGATTTTAGGAGAGTTCATTCCATTGTCTCAATGATACAAGAACCCCAAGACACAGAAGGCCGCATCATATAAGGAAATGATTCTCGGGAGTCAACACACTTGGTCAAGGTTACAGAGCTAGTACACAAAGCACTGGATCCTGAACCCAAATTCCTTGATTCCCAAGGAAATCTGTGCAATTTCCAGAACTCTCTACACATATTATCCAGTACTTCTTTCGTTTATTTAATGACCAAGTTAGGGAAGACACTGAGGTGGCACATCAAAATGCATTTGCCATTTGACTACAGGAAATTTATCTTAGATTTTTAGCTAAAAGACAAATTTAACACCCCTTTGTAGAATACTGTAGGAAAATCAACTTATGGGTGCTGTATCCTCAAACTAGAGGAAAAGCAAGTGAATCCGAATCTCACTATGAGCTTTTCTCATCATGAGTATTACCTTGGTGGCCAGGAAATGGGTCACACACAGATCACTGAGAGAGGGCAGGGGTCCTAGGTGGAGAGGAGCCAGCTCCTCAAAGTGGGGACAGGCCTCAGTGGGAAACCATTACAACAAAGGAACCAAGAACAATCTGCACCCTGAATGCACCGGTAAAGTTAACCGGTCTCTGCCCACCTCCATTAGCCAACGGAGAAGAGAACTCATCAGTTGTCTGGACTAATTAAATACCTCACTAATTAGCGGGCATCTGGAAAAGAAAACAAAACATCACTGTGATGGGAAAAGTTTGTGTTCACACATAAAGACAGAAACACTGCAAGGAGCTTAGGGCAGGCCTCTAGGCTTGATTTAAAAAAAAAAAAAAAAAAAGATAGTATGTGGACTATCAGGATCCATAAACACAGGTAGAAGTATCTAAGAGTCCCTGATGTTTTCTGCAAGAATGATATTCAAAAGAGACTCACAAATAAAAATACAATGAAAAGACACTTCAGAATGGACTCACATTATTTTTAAATCTCAATTCCTAAAAGTAAAGAAAAACCAAATGAATTCAGCCCTGGAAGCAGGGAGGAAAGCAGGGAGGAAAGGCACCAGTCCTGCATAGCTTCCCTCATTTCTGCATCTCCAGAAACTACCTTTGTAGCAAGAGGACAGGGAAGCACTTTTTTTCAAGAGAAGTAGCTTTATAAAAAGCTTACAAAAATCTGAACAGCCATTTTTCCATGCTTCTCACCACTTCTTTAAAAAACACTTTTCACTTAAAAAATGATGTATCTCCCATCTTTTCTAACAATGATCTTGTAGAGGAAGCAGTCGCAGGGACTTAAGGGTGCTGGGAGACCCTTTGATCTGATGAGTGAGTGTTCCCCTTTGCTGTGAGCCAACTAATGAAGAGATGAAATTAGCTTTTATCCCGGGCACTTTCTTGAGCAAAAAAACATGCACTAATCAGCTGTCCTCACTAATCACTCATCTGGCTAATGACCTTTTGCCTTAAAACACTAAAATTTCTGAATGATGTGGAAAAAGGGAAACACAAACCAGTCCCCCTCTCTCTGGAGCTCAATGGTTCATATGGAATTGGAACCCTGGGAAGGTTAAACAGTGACCCGTATCCTGGCAAAGTGATAAATCTGTAATCAGGAGCTGCGAGCTTCAGCACCTCAACACCAACTTCATTACATCCCAGCCAAATTTTTTTTTTAAACCAGAAACAGGCCTGAAGTAAACCCAGCCCATATGTACTATTCTGCCTCTGAAAAGAACCATCATATACTTGTGTTCAGAGTCCTACTCAATTTCTTAAACTTTGTTAAGAATAGAGAAACAACTCCCAAGGTCTCCGGGGGGCTGGTGAGAGGAGAGTAGGGCTCAGAATAAAGTGTTCCACAGTAACCCATTTAGCATTGAATTGTTAAAGAAGTTTAAGAAATCATTAAGCATAGGAATAGCCAAAATCATTACTCCAAAAATCATTAAAAATGAGAAGAGCTGCCATCAAAGGCCAGCCCTAAGGTAGCATGCTTTACTAGTGCCCACACTCAACCCATTTTTCTCCAACAGCTTCTCTTTGCATGGAGCAGATTTGCTTCCAGTTCCAGCACGTGTCTACAAGGCTTCACCACAAAACCACCCTCCTGTGGACCACCCTCAAAAAGCCTGAAATAGCTCAGATCTGTAAGAAAACGCCCCTTTCTGAGAAGATGAAGGACAGGAAGTAGAAGTAGGAACAAATTTAAACATTATTTGTAAATTATACACGACTTATAATTCCTACAACACCACACACACATACACACACACACACAGAGCCACCTCCTAGAATAAGGCTAACTGCTAGAAAGCACTTACGGTAGTGAGGCTCCATGTAACCATTCCTGGGATCCATGGCAAACACAGTCCCACGGTAAGGGACTGAGGGCTCTGCCAGGTGTGGTAGGGATCCATGGATCTCCTTCTTGATCAACGAGGCCCTCTCATCACTAGAAGTTGAGGGTTCCTCGCTGACTTTGCTGAGCCCTTGCACACTCTGAGGCTGCATGGTGATTGCGTTTCTTCTCTCTCGGTGATAGATCTGTCCAGGACTTTCATCCTCTAAAGAAAGAAGGAAAATGAAAGACTTCAGAAACTACTTTAAGGAGCAATAAAAAAAAAAGTCATCAATATACCTCTCCCTGTCTCTCTGTTGGAAAGAAACTTCTATCTCCTTAATGGCTACTTTGTAAACTACACACCTGTGATAGGACACCTACAAAACAGAACTGTTTATGAATAATGCCAAAATTATACATGGGAGGATGAAGAAGGAAGCGGGCCCGGGTCATAAACTAGCATCACAGCTCTGGGCTGATGCTGCATGGAGGTTGTCCCGGGACACACTGATACCCTGAAGGCCCCACATAAGGCTGAGGAAACAGAGCTTACAGGGTATTGAGAAGTCTGGCTGCCCAGTGAGGCTCTAGGCAGCTCTCGGGAGTGCTGGGACTTTATTTCTCAGAAGATGACCTATTAGAAAGCCATCTAAGAAATTTTGTGGTTTTAGTTTTGTCTAAATCAGACTTGTAACTCACCAAGAGATTTAACAGGGCCAGAAATGAAACTGAAGCAAAGGGTGTCAATCATATCAACACCATAGCACAGGACATCCTGCTAGATACACTTCCTATGTCTGCTCATATATATCAATGCTGGGAACCAAGAGGGAGACTCAGTGAGACTGAAAGTCTGGGTGTGACATGGGTATGTGGCTGAGGAGGGATGGTAGCAAGGATGCCATGCCTGTCATCCTCTGGAGGGTCTCCATTTCTTCAAACAGGTAAGAAAGGGCAGAACGAAATTCCACCAATAGTTCATTCCCAGAGCCCTAATACTTGGTCTATAAGAACTTTCCATCTCTCCTCCAGTGTTCTCTGCAAATGTGACTGGATGACCTGTCCCCGGTCATGGATCTAAGAACTGATGCATCAAATTCAGCCAAACTGGCTCTCTGAACCCACAGCCAGAGTACGCATTTGTACCAGAATCAAACACTGAGCTATGCACCCCAAACAAGCTCGGCATTTAACCACCAGACATTGCTCTGGCAGGTTAAGTGCTGATGGAAACAATGATCTCTGGGTGTCGCTTAAGTTTCTAAATAAAAAACTTTTATACACTGCTTAAGTTTCTAACTCAAAAACTTCCATAGTCCTTATCTTAAAAAAAAAAACACCTCAAACTATATGTAAGAATAAATAATCAATCATACTATTGAACATCTCAGACACAACATGTTCCAATATACAAACTTCTCTTCAAAGTAATCCCTAAGTAGATGTGACTTTTCAAGTGCCCGCAAACTAGAAGCGTTGACCTTTAACGTGCCCACAGTGCTTTGTTCAGATTCAGAGGGAATCAGAACTATGCCCAGTGTATCAGTACTAACTACAGTAACAACGGCCATTTTGCCTAATGCCAGTGCCACCTTCAGTTGTGCTGCTTATTTATACACAAAGCTTAAGAAACAAGCAGTGAATTATTTTAGCCCAGCAAATGACTTTCAAAACAGAATAAACAATGAGGTATATTTAAGTCTTCACAGTGAATCTGCTGACCACCACAAGGTGGAAATATTATGAGTATTATTTTGTGCAGCTCCTCACCCAAACCCTTACAATTAAAGAGTAAATCACAAGTTTAATCTATCAAATCACAACCACAAATCACAAAAATTGACATAATCCCAGATTTTCACATTGATCTTTGCAAAAGTAATTCAAAGCATGCTGCTGGTAATTTTAAGGCAAACTACCAAAAATAAATAAATAAAAGCCTTCATTCTTCTCCCTTGTAATACACACACAAGCACTGGCCTGCCCTTGAGCCTCATTAACAGTAAGGCCGCATGCTACAGAAAGAGGGCTTCACAGGTCTGCAAAAGCAAGCGGGTGTCAAAAACGCTAAAACAAGGTTGGTTTTATGAAAATTCCTACAACCTGCAAATGGCCCAAGTCATATTTTCCATTCATTTGTGCTCTGTAAAACCTTTATTTAAAATTTCAACCTGAAGTTAACTTGGAGCAGTGAGGGGCACAATCTACAGAGCGGAAAACTCTTCCACAGAGGGGCTGTGACACATAATTAACATTCTCTGGGAAAAATGAATAACCAAACTCTACTAATCTGTTCCAGATTTGAAACGGAATTTCCTTGACTTAATCTTCCTCAAAGACATTAACTTTACTCCCCTTAAATCTGCAACCCTACAATCAGCTTGGGCTCTGTAATGGTCAAGTCTTTCTAGAAGGAGCATTTGAATACAACTTCCCAAAGACCAAATCTTGGTAAGGTCTGATTGATCAAAGTCTCCTGCCCTCAGGCACTTTAAGCTTCCAGAGAGAAAGAAGGACGGGGATGGGGTATGCAAATGAGGGTGCCTGCTAGCTTAGCTATTTTTCTTAATGAGAATGATTCCAACATGTGTGAAAAAGTTATACAAGTAACCAAAGTTCAAATAGTGAATTAAAAAAAAAATTAAGCTATTTCCATCATAAAGTTAAATGTAGGCCAGAATGTTTTTTAACACAGAAACTTTTATCAGGGACCTTAACTTTTTACAGTTGGTGCCACAACCTTTACAATAGCCCACTCCCCCCAAAATGCCATAGACAAATATTTCATGAAGTTTACCTTGCGTGTTGAGCTGCTTTTGATGCGCATTCAGATGAAAACTTGACAGTACACAAGCTCCCAAATACTAACAGCCAAGAGGCCTGAAGTACTGTGCATACAGGGCAAGAGCAGCTTCCCTAGCAATATTCCTGCCTGCTCTTATAAATTTAGCAAGCACTCAGCAAGCCAAAAGACGAAAGCTGTCTAATCTTGTTCAGTTGAGCTGAGCTGTTCAATGAAGTTTGAGAGTCAGTGCAGACAGGCTACGCCAGGCCAAATTATTGACAGAAACATACTGTCCACTGTTGCGACAAGCAGAAGTCAGCAGCAAAAATGTAAGCAAACAGCCCACTGCTCCAAGAGCATCTGCCAATGGACTTTAACAGCCAAACACAAGCAACTGTTGGAGTGTCTCTGTTTAACAGCTGCAAGCTTGGGGGTCAAACGGAAACATGCAGTTCACTCAAAAACTTTCAGGAAAAAATTACTCTAAATACTGCCGTCATAATCCCTTTCTTTTTTTCTGTATATCTGTGCTCAAGTGGACCAGAACGAATTCCTGCCCTGAAACTCAAGAGTCTGCCCTAAGTATCATGTCTAAAGAAACTGTCCCAGATTTTCCAAACTCATACAAAAGCAACCAACTTGGAGTCTGACATTTTCAGTGCCAGAAAGCACAAAAGCTGCCTCACTTCAAACACTGCTAATGATGGCTCTAATCAAGGTCCAGGGAATACTGCTGCATGGTATAGGACTCGAATACACGCCCCTGCACACTGATCACTAGCTCCTGTAACACATGAGATAAGTTCTCTTTCACCTAGGGTGTGAGACAAGTTTCAGACAATTCTTTCCATGTAAAACTCTGCCAGGCATCACAGAGCAGAGACACCTCCAGTCACTGAACAGAACTGGGGTGTCAGGAGCTCACCACACATGTGCTTACTCTATTCTCCAATAACAATTCTGCTGTCGCTCAGCAAACCCATTTGAATATCCTCACTCCTCTCTTGCCCCCAAGCAATAAAAGCCACAGAAAGATGGAGGATAAGCAAACAGATAATACTCACAACTCAGTCCCTGGGCTCTGGCTAGCTACTCTCTGGAAACTTCTCGGTGAGCTTTCTCTAGCCGTGCCGACCCTCTAGGAACATTCTCAGAGTCTCTTGGCCTTTCTTGCCTCTCTCTCTCACTCTTGCAGGCAGTGCGGCTCCCATTAGAGGAATTAAAAGTGGTTGGAGCCATGCTAAATTTAACAAGCTCATTAGTATTCTTTGCAAGTGCTTGGAAGTGAACTCTCTCTATTCAAGGAGCTCTCTCCAGCAGAAGGGTCAGGCGGGTAATCATTAAATCAAACTAATGTCACCCTATCACAATCGGCCCCAGAGAAGGAGGGTTTATTATTTCAGTTTATGCTAAATAAACGGTTTTACAAATGGTCCCCAAGCAAGGTCAACAGCAGCTTCAATTACAAGACAAACTTAACAAGAGTTGCTATAAACCAAGCACTCCGTATTGACTTAGGGACAGTCTGGGCTCCACATATTGCCACTGGCAGGATTGTACAGGAATGCACATTACAAAATAAAGGAAGGGTGAGCTTTTTTTTCTCTGCCAGAATTTGCGACTGCACAGCGACTCCACATTCACCTCTCTCCAACCAGCTAGCCGCTCAGCTCAATTCACCCCACACAAAGGCTGGAGCCCAGACCTCAATGGACCGAGTGAAACATGTTCAAAACTAGGCTCTCTATTGTGACTGAATTTCTTAACATCTTTTCAAAAAGCGGAGAATGCCTTGAGGCTAAAGGAAGAAACAGGCTAATGGTGAATTGGGAATTCTGAGCAAATTTCAGAGCCCTTTCCTCCTAGCTTTTGAGGTTGAAAGCAAGCTCTTTCCTTTCAAGTTTCAAAGTCCTTTTTCCTCCCGCAGTGTCACAGAAGGATTTGAAAAGAAGGTAATTGTGCTCGCAGTCTCCCTGATCAGAGCTTACGTCCTATTTCTGGTATTTCGGAATACTTCTTGCAATAATAGTGCATATAGCTCAATCCCTTAACCGGCCTGCACTCCGCAATTGCTCATTAAATGAACAATTGCGGGTATAAAATGCCTTTTATGTTCAAGGTCTGGATATAAGATAAGCATTCTAGGACTCTAAATTTGGTTTACTAAGGAAACTCTCTATCATTAAATTACAAAACTGAAGTCAGAATATCAGGCTTTCCCAGAAAGTAGTATTCAGGTTGCAGTAAGCCAAAAAGAAAGGTGGGTGGGGGTGGAGAGGAGACACCAAAATGTTAGGGGAGAGGGCTGGATACTCAAATTCCTAGCCAAATAGGATTTTTACCAAAAAAGAACAACCCCATGTTCAAGGTCTGAACTTCTGATGGCCCACACTTTCCATTCTGAATGATGCACTGATCTCTGAATGAGTTAAAGCACA